GTAGGTCTAGGTGTTTTTGGGTCTTTTCCCATGTAAGATTAAGAGCATCTTGGCGACGTCCCACTCGCCATCCTCAGGCTGGTGGTTTTGGCTTCGTGCCAGTGCAAGCAGTGTGTGATCAGAACTGCCGTCTCTCTATAAATACTGGTGGTGGGGATGGTGTGCTCGGCTGGTTGGCTGTGCTGCTGCCTCTTGATTGGTTGATGGAGTTGATGTTGGTATAATGGGCTGTGTGATGGCCTTGTGAGTTTTGTTGTGGAGATACCCTGGATCTTGTGCTGCAAAATAGCCCACCATTCTATATCATTTCCTTGATCCTTCAAATCATGTCTATATTGTAGTTCCCCTCTATCATTTAATATATCTTCGTGATTTTTCCTTGTCTAAGTAGGTGAGGGTGCATCAATGCTTCTAAAGTTGATAGCCAAATAGGTGTTTCTACATACATTTGTCTTTTGGTTTTGTTCCATGCATTTAAGAGGGTCTGTCTGATTTTGTGTCTTTGAACGTAACTATAGCTGATTTGATTATCCCGCCACAGGAAAGCATGCCATCCCGACTGCAAATTATAACCCTCTAATACTAGTATTCTTTTATTCTTATGGTTTATCCAGTCTTTCACCCATGTTAGAATTGCAGCTCTATAATACAATTCCCAGTCAGGCCGAATCCTCCCCTTTCTGTGGTATCTTGCAGCAAATTCAATTTGATTCTTGGTTTTTCCTTTTGCCATATAAAACTCGACATCATTTAAATTATCAAAAAACTTTTTTTCCAATTTTATGGGAGCATTTTGAAAAAGAAATAATAATTTGGGTAATATGTTCATTTTTACAGCCACTATTCTCCCCATAATTTATCCGATTTTTCTAGATCTTCTGTTATTCGCTTTATTAATGAGTCATAGTTATCTTTTTTAAGTGTTGTATGTCTCACTAAAATTATAATCCCCAAGTACTGTATTTTACTTTGTCTACTATCTGAATGCCTATTCTCGCTACTAGTGCTTCCTTTTGTTTATTTGTCATATTTTTTGTGATTATTTTTGTTTTTTCCCTATTAATTTTTAGCCCCACAACTTTTCCAAATTTTTCTAAATTGTCTCTCAATTTTGGTCCCAAATTTTGTGGCTCTTCTAAGATAAAAAGAAAATCATCAGAGAAGGCTTGCAATTTAAACTCTTCTTTTTTATTTTTAATCCTTTAATTTCTGTTTCTTTCCTAATTGTTCTTGCTAAGACTTACAAGGTCAAAATAAACAAAAGTGGTGATAATGGGCATCCCTGTTTGTTCCTTTCCTTTTTGAATTTCAAATTTATTGTTATCTTCCCATTCACCAAAAATCTACCTTCTTGTTTATCATATATTGCCAATATTACATTTAGAAAATTTTGTCCAAAATCCATATATTTAATTTGCTGCAAGATAAAATCCCACTTCATGTTGTCAAATGCTTTTTTGGCATCTAAAAACAATAGCGCCACCTGGTCACAACTATGATCTTCGTAATACTCTCTAACATCTAAAATTGTCCTTATATTGTTGCAGTTCAATCTCTTCTTGAACGTCTCAAGTGATGAAGCTCCCACAACTTCCAAAGGCAAGCTGTTCCATTGGTTCATTGTTCTAACTGTCAGAAAATTTCTCCTTATTTTCTGGTGAAATCTCTCCTTGTTCAGTTTCCATCCATTATTCCTTGTCTCACCTCCAGGTCTTTAGAAAATAGCTTGACCCTGTCCTCTCTGTGGCAGCCCCTCAAATATTGGAAGACTGCTATCATGTCTCCCGATTCTTCTCTTTACTAGACTAGCTAAGCCCAGTTCCTGTAACTGTTCTTCATAAGTTTTAGTCTCCAGTCCCCTAATCATCCTGGTTGCTCTTCTATGCACTTTTTCTAGATTCTCAACATCTTTTTTTTATAGTGTGGTGACCAAAACTGGATGCAGTACTCTAGGTTTGGTCTCTAGGTTTGGCTTTATAGAATGGTATTAGTACCACTCTTGATCTTGACTGTATCCCTCTGTTAATGCAACTTAGGATTGCATTGGCTTTTTTGGCTGCCACTGCACACTTCTGGCTCATATTTAGCTGGTTGTCCACTAAGACTCCAAGATCCCTCCCATAGTTACTGCTATTAAGCCTGGTTTCACCCAATCTATATGTGTACTTTTGATTTTTCTTGCCTAAGTGTAGGACTTTACTTTTCTCTCCATTGAATTTCATTTTGTTAGAAACAGCCCAGTGTTCTAGTCTGTCAAGATGCATCTGGATCTTGAGCCTATCTTCTAGGGTGTTAGCTATTCCTGCCATTTAGTATCATCTGCAAATTTGGTAAATTCCCCTTCTATTCCCTCATCTAAGTTGTTTATGAAGATAGTGAAGAGTACTGGACCTAAGATGTAACCTTGTGGTACCCCACTGCTTCCTTCCTTCCATGTAGACGTAGACCCATTAAGGACTATTCATTGCATATGGTTTGTCAGCCAGTTGTGAATCTATCTGGTGGTGATGCTATCTATGCCATTTTGCTCTCGCTTACCAAAAAGTAGGTTATGGTCTACTTCAAGGATGTCAAGCTCGATTCCATTGAGGGCCTCATCAGAGTTGTGTTTGACCTTGGGGGGCCGGGGTGGGTGTCGCCAAGGTGGGCATGGCCAACTCAACATCACTTGTGTCGGGGGCAGTTGTGGTGGCCCGAGCACTCTGCCTGTGAAAACCGGCTCCTGAGCTCCATTTTCAGCTGCAGAGGCCTCCTGTAACCCTCTGCCTGTGAAAAGACGCAGAGTGTTGCAGGAGGCCATGACAGCTGAAAATGGAGCTCGGGAGCCCATTTTTGCTAGCAGAAGCACTGCGGGCCAGTCCTTTGCTATTTCCAGGGCAGCCTCACGGGCCATATCTAAGCACCCCACAAGCTGCATCCAACCCCCAGGCCTTGAGTTTGACACCCCTGGTCTACTTTGTCAAATGCCTTGCTGAAGTCTAAGTATGTTATATCCACAGTATTTTGCTGATCTACTAATCACTATGTTGAAGAATGAAATAAGATTGATTTGGTATGATCTGTTTTTAACAAACCTAGGCTAACTGCTAGTTAGTACTTTACTCATTTCTAGATGTTGGCAGATCTGTTTTTTTATTATCTTTTCCGGTATCTTCCCAGATACTGATGTTAGGCTGATTGGTTTGTAGTTTCCTGAGTCTGTTTCCCCTCCCCCCACACTTTTTTTTGAAGATGGGAGCTACATCACCTCTTTTCCAATCCTCTGGTAGTTCCCCGGGGCTCCAGGATTTTTGAAAGATGTGATGCAATGGTTCTGAGATAACCTCTGCCAGCTCCTTTAGAACTCTGGGATGTAATCCATCAGGTCCTGGTGATTTGTATTTATCAAGATCAGACAGGTGTTCTCGTACTATTTTTTTGCTTGTTTTAACTTGTATTTCTAGTCTGTCTTTTACAGTTATGTTTTTGGTAGGTTGGGCTATAGTTTCTTTTTGCTTGAAGACCGATGCAAAGAATGAGTTAAGCAGCTCTGTTTTCTCTCTGTTGCCTGTTACTTCCTTGCCATCTTCTCTCTTTAGTGGACCGACTGTTTCCTTGATTGTTTTTCTTGTTATTTATATTGTTATTTTCTGCCTATTCTATACCAATGAATTTTTCCTGCCAAGTGTAGGACTCTGATTTTCCTCTCTCTGAACTGTATCTTGTAGGCTAGGGCCAATGCTTAAATATGTCAAGATCCTTCTGAATCCTGAGTCTTCCAAAGTGTTAGCAATTCCACCCCCCTCAGCTTGGTGTGATCTGCAAATTTCATGAATTGTCCTTCTATCCCCTCAACTAGATAATTTATGAACATGTTGAAGAGCACTGAGCCCAAGACAGAACCTTGAGATACTCCACTACATGCTTCCCTCCATGTATATGTAGTTTGTTAAGGACTACACACTGAATGTGGTTGATCAATGAACTGCGAATCCATCCGGTGATAATAATGTCCATTTCACATTGTTATATCTTACCAAGTAGTAGGCTATGGTCTACTTTGTCAAATGACACCGAAATTCAGATATACTATGTTTACAGCATTTCCCTGATCCACTAATTGAGTCATGACATCTATAAAGTCCATGAAGGGAGTATAATAGGCTGTTTGTGACCCATGAGCTGCAAGTTTTGTCCTCATTTACATCCTGGAACATATTACAGATCTGTCTATTTATCTACTTTAAGGAGCACTAAAGGCAACTACCATTTTAGAATGGAGCTTCAATTAAGTCTAGAAAGCACCATGAGAAGGACCATAAGGACCCAAGTGCAGTTAACAATTGCACAACCCCTACCCCAAACACTAATGCTGAATCCTGACACAATTTACAATTATTTTCCCTTAATAAATGAAGCTACAACAAAATTCAGATAATTTATTGTGCTGTGGATCTGTTATTATTACTAGAACAGAAAGAAGAAACAACTGCTGGATTTATCATTCCCCTGAGACATAAAAATGTTTGCACAGGCCACTTGGAAAGTACCTAAATAAAGCATTTGTTCTCATGACAAACAGCAAAAGAAGAGACATAAAGGTTTTGGGAAATTTCTGCCACTAAATCTGGCTACCAAATGCCTTCTATTGTTGAGCTACATGCTAACCAAGAGATCAAATTTTCTTCTAACAAATTCTCAGGGCTATGGGAATCTTTTGGAAGAATCCAAAGGAGAGTAGCAATAATCTGAAAGGGAAATGGATACCATAAAAATGCCCAAACACAAAAGCAGCAGTGGTTCAGCAGCTGTTCTTGGTACATTAACAAAGGACAAAGAAATTTAGCCAACATTCAAAAGGCATCTACTTTTGTCTGCTAATCAGCAATACTGAACTCTCCTATCCTTACTTTCTGCCAAAGAACAACTAGTTATCTGCTGTTCTGGAGTTTGTTTACTATTTTAATAACCAGATGTGTTTACTGACATCGCTCACCATAATATAGTGCCAGATAACTCACCGACTGCAGGGTGCCACCACGTTTTTTGGAGAGCTGTGGTGAGTTGCCATATTCTCGACACACCTGTTTCCTCACTTCAGCTGCCACAGTCCTGTGAGAGAGGAAGATAATAGTGAAGCATCCATTTTTTGTTTCTGTATCATCCATACTCTCGACCTTTTTCCACTCCACCAGAAATACTATGAGGAGTGGAACTTCATTGACAAAGTATACATTTATTCTGAATCAACACATCATCAATTAATAGTAAATCCCAAACTATAATTCTGCATTTCAAATTATCTGCAGCCATTGTCTCAATTTATTCTAGTCTCAGCTTCCATAGAGTTCAAACCTCCCCTGACCTCATTCAGTGCCAATAACATAGAAGAGATTAATATCATTCAGAAACTGATCCTTACTCTGTTTTTTCTTCAAACAAAACCAACCCCAACCTCATCCCGATACAAGAAAATAGCATCTTCACAGTAAGGTATTTAGGTTAATAATTCAAAATAAATTTTCATTCACTATTACAGACCTCTATAGTAGGTTTCAGAAAATTCATGAGTGAAAATTAGATTTTCTGAATCAGACAGATTATACGAATGGACAGAGCAACAAAATAATTCTGCTCCTTTTATATAATCACTATTTAGTGAATACATAATAGTATACCAAGCCAAAACTCACACTTTAGCAAATATAATGCACACTCTGTAGGATGATAATCCCAATATCAGGGATCCAAATAACTCCTCCAACAGAATTAAAACTCCAAGGCAAGTTCTTCCTCAAAGTATAAATTTATTTGAGGCATCATTATTGGAACATCTGGGGAAAACCCAAATCGAAAATCCTGTGTTTTCCCCACCCAAAGCCCACAGTTCCTTCCCCTGCATCCTCCTCTTCATCATGTGGTCCAATCACATTCACGCCCCAACTCCAGCCAACTTTTCTCGCTCCTTCCCAGGTGCCAGCTGGACTTCCTAGGCTCCCAGAGGAAAGAATGCTGTTATGGTTATACACCCCCACTATCTACACCTCCCCCCTTTCATTCTCATAATTAGCTAAACCATCGCTGTGGTTGTGGCAGCCTGTAGACTCTCATAGGATGACTATAGGGCTGACACCCAGGGAGCAGCAAGCTGTATCTATTACAAGAGGAATGTTTAAGTGTTGTGGTGCTGCGATGCTCCTCTCCACCAAAATACACTGGGTGATGCCCATTAACAATGATTAACAAGACCATCAATCGCAGCAGAAGGAATTCTCCAGTTGTGAGAGACTATTTGCACTGCATTCTAGAAGATTCCAAGTCAGGTAGCTGAGAAGGAAGATGACCAGAAGAGGCATAGACTCACGTTCTTCGTAAGATAGGAAAAGGATATGATGCCAAGTTTACCAGTCTGGGTAATTGTTGTGGAATCTTAACCTCTCCTTATTCAGAAATATCCCAGCAGGATACAGCTGCCTTTTCCTCCTGAAAAGACCGATTGGTCTCTAATGGCATAGAAGTTGGCAAAGCCTCCTCCCAAGAAGTGGCTTACTTTGGCTGCCCATCCTGAGTACAAACAGGCAGCCAGGCTTTCCCTCTTCTTTGAAAGATCCAGGACTTGCCTGTTCCGTGTTGCATCATCTGCCTGGCCACTCCTTCAGAAGCAGCTGAGTGCCATTTTTATCAGCAGTTGCCCAAGATGGTAAGCTTGACATCATGTCCTTTTCCTGCCTTAAGAAGGACTTGAGTCTGTGTCTCTTCTCTCCGTCAGTTATGTGTCATATAGCCTCTTTCCCTCCTGCCCTTCCTGATGTCTGCAGATGCTGCACTCCCTACTTTCTGCCTTTCAATCCATTTGGCCATCAAATCCACATCTTTCTTGTATTCACAAAATATGGCAAGTAGGTGGCTTCTTTGAGTTTTAGCATGCCAAGACCCATTTTCCATTCTAAAAATAAATCCCCAGGATGAATGGAAATCAAACCACTTCCCTCTTCCATTTTCTTCACCCTTTCTCTTTTTTGTTTTTGGAACTGATGGATCAACAAAGAGATCTGAGATAAAGACAAGAAGGTAGATAAGAAATCTGAACTAAAAGAGACTGTTACATGTCATACACTTCAACCAATCCCCAGGCAGCTAGAGTAGATGCAGTTGTGTTGGAGGGGGAAAGGATCAGGCTTAGAGAATCACAGAGATGTTGGAAGATAACACTTTGCAGGCATGTAAGGTATTTTTCCACCCCCCCAAAATCGCCAGATATTTAATATGCTTTTTTTGTTTCAAGCAAAGAGCAGAGCTATCAACTCTGTTTTCTGTGCTCAAGCACAAAGACCAGCACACACATGAGAATTTTTCCACAAATTACATAAATGGCACTTTCCCCCCAAAAAACAGAAGAATCTGAAAAATATGATAAGCAAGCAGACAACTTGAGAAGGCTTTCAATAAAGCTACGGAAAGGCCATTCCAGCAAGTTTCTAATCGTGAGAAAGGAGGGAGAGAGATTCTTCAAATGTTGTTTTGGCAACAGAGAGGAGCACAGTGGGAATTAACTTGGACTTCTTTGGAGAGGATGGGTGTTAGAAATAAGTTTCTTCTGCTTCTTAGCTCTAGAAGACATGGGCCTTTGTAAAAAGTTCCATTTGACTCCCAGTGCAGTTTTCTTAGACCAAAATATTATTTGTATGTGTATGTGTGTTTGTGTAATAAATATTTATGTCCAGTTGTGAATGTATGTTTTAATTAATGTACTTTGGCCCAAGGTGAATGAAGAATAGGTGTACAATATTTTATCTGATTCTGCTAAAATACAGAACTTTGATTTCTTGAATAAACTACAAATTGGCTTCAGTGAAATACTCCAATAAATTCCTACTGTTGAACTCTGTGAAAGTTCACTACACAAAATGGGTGTACTTTCCAATCCTCTGGCTCCATCCACTGAATCAGAAACTGAAATTTGTATCATGATGTACTGGGTACCAACAGGCACTAGAAGAAAAGTGGGGAAGAGCAAGAGGACTCTTTCCTACAATGAGAAAGCTGTTGTAAGGACTGATATATGTTGTTTATTGTGTTCAGAAAGCTAGTTGTAAAGCAGACAGAATGAGAGAAAGAGTATCTAAGTACAGTACCTCATTGTAACAGCAATTAACAAAAAAACCCACTCCTTGTGCTATTCATAAATCTCTAGGGACTATTTGAGGCAACACAGTGAAGTATAAAATCAGCGGTTCAGTGGCTTAGAGGTGGAACTCTTGCCTCACAATCAGTGAGTTCAATCCTAGGTAGCGGTGGACATTTCTCTCTCTGGGCACAATGAGTAAATATCAGCTGCAAACTCTGCATTGACGACAGGAAGGGTATCTGGCCAGTAAACACTCAGCTCCATTTGATCACATGAAACATTGTGCTTTATGACTATAACAGACATTCAGGTCCTAACTACTGTCATTAAGTAATTTGTAGTATTCATCTAAAAGCTAGCAGGACACAATATTCAAACCGTATTCTGATTATTTATATCGAAGTATTGTTACTACTGCCACAAATATGTATTACTAGAAGAAAAACTACCCAAGAAATGTTTATATATATTACAATATTTTGCCATACAACAAATATGTATGTATAAAAGAAAGAAATGCCAAATAGTTTTACTTGAAGGCAAATTAAACAGTTAGTTGAAGCCTTGCACACACTCTGGAATTTCTAGCATTAAAGTACAGTGTTGCTAACTTTCTTTGGGAAGTAATAAAGAGATTAATGAAGCAAAGCAGAAGAGCCCTGCAGAATATCAAAGTCAGAGGTGGTACTCAGCAGGTTCTGACCAGTTCTGGAGAACTGGTGGTAGAAATTTTGAGTAGTTCAGAGAACCAGCAAATACCTCCTCTGACAGGATATTTTACAGGATCCTTCCCCCTGCCATGCCCATAGAACCGGTAGTAAAAAAAATTGAATCCCACCATTGATCAAAGGTCTTATACTACAGTAGTTGGGGGCCTGAAAAAGAAAATGATGCTGGTACAGGCATAGTTCCCAACTCTTGTCTGACAGGGCTTTGCAGGAACAGAAGGCTGGATTCCAAGGGCCTTTGGACTGATTCTGCTCTCAGGCTCTTCCTATGAAACTGAACAGAAAACCTTGCCTTCTCTCTTCCTATGAAACTGGCAAAACTTTTTCTGCATGCCCAACTCTCTGCCCTTGTTAAAGTTTTCTAGAGACTCAACATATCCAAACAAAAAAAGTGTCAAGCAATCCACTTTAGCAGGACAGAAATTCTACACTTTTTAAACTCCACCTAATCACGCATTCTACAAAACACAGTGAGAGCTTGAAGACCAACATTTGCTAGATCCATAACATAGATCCCCCCCAGACTGTTTAATGAATATAGCTGATTACTAAATTGATATGATTTCATTGATTTCACTTTATAAAAACTAAAATTCTATCTAACCATATATTTATTTGTTTATTTGATTTGTCAATTGCTTACAAAATAATCATATAAGTATAAACATGAGTAAGAATACAGAAAATAGGTACGATTAAATGGGGACAATAGGACAGGGACAGGAGGCATGATAGTGCACGTATGCACGCCCCTTACAGATCTCTTAGGAATGGGGTGAGGTCAATAGCAGATAGTTTGAGGTTAAAGGAGTGGGGGTTAGAGGATGTAACTACAGAGTCAGGTAGTGCATTCCAGGCATTGACCACTCTGTTGCTGAAGTCGTACTTTCTGCAATCAAGTTTGGAGCAGTTTACATTGAGTTTGTATCTGTTTTGTGCTCTTGTATTGTTGCGATTGAAGCTGAAGTAGTCATTGACTGGTAGGACATTGTAGCAGATAATTTTGTATACTATGCTTAAGTCCAACTGTAGGCGGCGTAGTTCAAGATTGTGCAAGCCCAAAATTTCAAGTCTGGTGATATAGGATATTCTGTTGTGAGCAGAGGAGTGTTGTACTCTTCTCGTGAAATACTTCTGGACTCTCTCAATTGTATTAATGTCCGATATACAGTGAGGATTCCAAACAGATGAGCTGTATTTGAGTATTGGTCTAGCAAAGGTTTTGTATGCCCTAGTTAGCAATTCAATATTTCCAG